AGTGGAGTTTCCACATTGGATCCCTCTTGTATAGCCTTTGGAGTGTGCTGTGTAATCAGATACGTTTCTAAATGCTAAGGACACCACAATTAGCATCTCTTGTCCCTGCCCTCCAGCCTCTCATTGACTTATGAAACATTACTGTGATTGTGTGCTGTGAAGTGAATTCAAACTCACGGTGACCTTACATGACAGTAGAACTGCCTCATACATAAATAGGCATTGATTTTGATTGTGATGACTCTCATGTTTTGGTTGTTGTTCGTGTGTAGCCACATGACACTGTCTTAATTACTGAAGCTCTGTACCTCTTGAAATAAGGTAGTGTGAATCCACCAAATTTCTTATTTTTCAAAACTATTTTAGATGGCCTCGCTTGATAGTCACCTTCATGGAATGATCACTGAAGATAAGGGTGCTACAGCAAAGTGTGCTGATGAAAGCAGATGGTGCCCGGCTATAAATCAGAATAGTGTCTGGGGTCTTAAAAGCTTGTATTCAAACAAGCAGCCATCTAAGTGAGGAGTCAAGTAAGTCCACATGGAAGAAGCACACCAGCTTGTGTGATCCAAATATGACAACTCGAATATGGTGAGGAGAAAAGCATCAAAGCAAAAATCATGAACATCCAATTTGTGGAGGGCTATGGGGGATGGTGAGAGACCAGAACCCTTCTTCAGAGAATCTGGTCAGACAGCGGATCTGGGAGATCCGCTCTAGCCACAGGCAAGAGTCTTAATCAGCCTTACTACCAGGCAGAGACCATTGTCATCTTGAAGATGCTGGATTGAACTCGTCGCTTGGTCAGGACACCACCCAATAGACAGGACCAGGATTTGTTCTGGGTGCCATATATTTTACTGGTTCCACGACAGAAATTTCTTCCCTAACCTTTTGATTAGTGTTTTGGGGGGTGTCTTTTCCATCTTACACATTGTTAGTAATTTTGTCTGTATACTATTATGTTTCTACCCTTACCACCTTAATGCAATGTTGTTGTCTAGTGTTTTCTGTTGGGTCTCACAGTGGTGAAGCACAGGAGTGGATACTTATGGATGATAATTACGGATACAAGGGGATATAGGGAATGAAGGTGTATGGGGAGCTGGGTGGGGAGAGTTAGGGAGGGAAAGGGGATTTGGGGAATAACTAATGAAGACGGGAGGGGAGGGAACACTAGAACAGATTGTGATTGCATAAATCATCTTAAAGGCAATTTAACCACGGGGGAGAGTGAAGACTCTAAAATTGATGTGGGGGTGATTGTACAATTCTCCGTGATACGATTGAATGATCAAACTAGTGAATTATATGATATGTAAATTATTTGCCAGCAAAACAATTGGAGGAGAAAACTATTTTGGGTATTTTTTTTTAACATTTTATTAGGGGCTCATACAACTGTTATCCCAATCCATACACACATCAATTGTGTAAAGCGCATTTGTACATCGTTTC